CTCCTTCACTGACCAGAGTGTTGTGTGATCCTTTCACCTCAAAATCCCGCTTCTCTCTCCGCCGCAGGCCTTCATCAGCTCCCGAGGAAACTGACTCTCAGGCGAGCAATGGCAGAGGCTTGGGCCCTTGGAGCGCGGGTGTCACAAGGCGGGACGGCTGGACGGCTGGACCGGCCCACCCGAGCCGGGCCCTGCCCGGGGCCGTGCCCCCCATTGTTCTGTGCCCCCTCTTCAATCTGTTATTGGCAGAGGCGCCGGTGGGCTCAGCCCTGGCCTGGGGTGGGTCCAGCCCGAAGCTGGGAAACTTCCAGCAGTTTCTCACAGGGGCTGGATCGGTGGTACTCCTTCCCCCACTGCCCCTCCCAGTTACCAAACGCTTGGAGCCGGGGGTGGGGGTGACCCCTGAGCAGTCACTTACAGGGGCCACTGCAGCCCCTCCCTTGCTGCCAGCAGAGCTGGAGTCCAGGGAAACCTTTAGCAGCTGCTTACAGGAGCCATTGCTGTGGCCCCTCCCTGCTACCAGACAAAACCCCCCCACACAAAACCATAACATATCCTTAAGACAATCACGAGTATCAGTGTTGGACTGTTTTTTGCAGCAGGGTGTATGATTATCCTAGCAGCATACTGTAAGGGTTGTTATTGAATGTAAGAAGTCAGATTCTTTTTCTGTAGACTTGCTTTTGCCTATTTGGCAATGGGTTTGTCTACCTACATGCCCCTTGCTTTTGCTCGCAGTCCTTGAGGCCCCAATCCTGCTGTTTTCCAGACATAAAGCCAGGTCTGCCAGAATGGATCCAACTGCAGAAGTGAGATTTCACTTTGGAGAACACTATTCAGTAGTTCAGTTTCACTTCTGCTTATAATAAAGCTGACTATAAAAGGTTTGATCATCATTTTTTTGCTTCTTTTGCACGAGCACAAATTTACAAGTTCTGGCACACAAAAAAAATCTGATGAATGCTAAAACTAGTTTAATGGAGAAAACCTCAAAACCAAGGCAGTATTTGCAATAAAGAAAAACTTGATAAAACCTAAAAAAAGTAGGTTTTAACTAACTTAAGCTTATATAAAAACAAGGTTTGTGTACTGTGCTTAACTTTTCTCATGTGGTTAGCGATACTAATTCCGGTGCAGTACTTGGACACGGTTTTGTCAAGCATGTCTGTAAATGTTGCATCTGAGTAACGTGAGTCTTGGAAATCCTCAGAGTGAAAGAACATACGAACACTGTGTAGAATTGGTCTCAGTTTCTGGGACCTTAAAGCCTGTAACAAAAGAAAAAAAAAAAGATAATTCTTTTAAAATAATCTCTTCCTGCTGTTTTGTTTCCACATAAGAATTTTTCTGTTAGTGCTAAGGTGTCATATAGCTCTGCAGGACCTCCAGTTGCATTTGTAAATAGAAGGTGCATGCTTTGTGAATGTGAAATAGCCACGTGAAAAGGTTGGTTTGGATAAATGAACTACTTTTCTTGGAAAAAATATAATCTGTCTTTATTCTAACAGCTCCAGGACATTGTATTGTCGTTTTTGCAGATGTCTTCTGTAGTTAAACTGCAATTCAATGTCTACTTTTTACCTATCATTATCAGATGATGGGAATGAAATCAAACCCATTATGTGAGTAGATTTGTCTCTTTTATGTTATTGCTCTCCGCTATGCTCTGTGAATTTAAAAACAGGGAACTGCACTCACAAAATTTATGGCCTGAATAAAATAGACAAAAAAGTCTGTGCTAAAGTGCATTCCAAAAAGAAGGCACAAGGCTGTGTCAGGGAATGCAAGATGTCAGCAGGTTGCAGCAGTAGGTACGTGAAGAAGTTGCAGCTCATTTTAAGTGCCAGGACTGTCAGTAAATGACAGAAATGCAGTTTTTTATGTTATACAGATTCTGTCATATTGCAGAATTTCACAAGTACTTGACAGAGATTTCTTTTGTGTGTTCTTGCCTGTAAATGTTTAAAGTTGCACTATTTCTATTTTCATTTTGATTTCTACATTGCAAAAAAAAAATTGTCCATAAAAATTGCTTTTGCAAAATAGGTAATTTTAGATTATTCGAAAGCACATCTCCCCATCCTTTAAAAATTGCTTTGATCTCTGAATACCCAGCTTAGTGCTTTATGGGTACCATTGCATCTCTACCGAACGTAGAGGAGTTGGTGTTGGCAGGAGGCTGGAGCGATAAACACTAAGATGAGGGCTGGGTATTAGCAGCTCCTTCAGGACTGGAGCAGTTAGCACAGGTGTATGTGTGTCCTTGTTCTGTTCCGTGTCCTTTCAGAGAGGTTTCTGCCTTAAATGGAGTTACTGGAGGACACTTAATCCAGCTGTGTAACCAGCCGGGTTCCCTGAGTGAAGTTTTAACCACTTAGATCCATCTCAAGCATAAGGAAAGGTGTTTTAGGTCCTGCCAAAGCATTTTAGTATTCTGGTGCTGAGGTTCACCACCCTACAGAGGGAGAATATGGTGATGTTAGCCAGTTACCTTGAGGTGAATCTTCACGTGACTCAGAAGAAGGTAAAATCAAATAAATTATGTTTTTACAACATCACTTGTAATCAGACAGCTGAGTTACAAATGTTTACAGGGACAAAGGAAACAGAATGCAACAAAGAACATGAGCGTTTTAAAGTGATTTTTTTTTTTTTTCAACAGTATCAAGGTTTGGCTGGAAGAAGCACTAATGAAGTATTGCAGCTCTACTCTGCTCATGGCCGGCAGCAGAAATTGCAGAGGAGTTCTGTTGTAACCCAGCTGCACGGAGCAATAAAGGTAAAGACATTTAGCAATAATGTAGGCATCATCTATGACCTACATGCTCATCAAATATAGTGAAACCCAGAAAATGGTCAGATATGAACCTGATCTATGGCTTTATTGTATTCACAATAGGTTAAAATTTATAGCGGCTTTGCTATAAAAAAAAGTCACCTGAGAAGCTGCTAAAAGTGGCTGCTCCTGAGCTCCTGGAGGGTGCTATCAATATCCCTGATATATATTTTCGTAATCAAACCTTTGGGATCTCTGACTATCATATAGACATCCCCTAAAAACCAATAATTGTGGTATACTTTAACCAGACAGGCAGATCCTTTAAAAAAAAGCATTGGAGAGCTCCATGGATTTCACTAAATTTCTGCTCTGACAGACCTCACAAGAGGGAGTAGTTTGCAGTGTGCTCACTAAGGTTGTCTTAATTTTGCATCAAAGAGACTGGAACTGTTCTCCCAGTAACATAATGTTTTCGTTTGTTAAAGTGCTTGTTCCTTAAGTTACTCCCTAGAATAGTGAGTTCCTTTTGGGGATGCTAGCAAATGTCAGCTTTTCTCAGGGCACCACTGGATGCCTGCAGAAAAGGACTGAAAAGTATCTTGGGAAAGAAATCTGATTCTTAACAGGCAAAAGGATGTAGCTTAATTTTAGCACAGTTGGACTAGATGACTGTTGAAGGTCCCTTCCAGCTGAACTGTTCGAATTGCAGTGATTCTGCTCAGTAAATTTTGCAGTGGTGTTTTGCATTTTAGGTTAGCTAGAATGGCAGAACTGCTTGTGATGCGATACCAGCGGATTGAGATGGTTTGCTGTCAGAGATCAATGAATGTTAGGAGAGAGTAAAGCTCTCCAAATAGATGTCTAGATTAGTGGTAATCCTATACCCGTAATAAAAAAATATTTCTTCCTAGTTATATTCAGTGGCTTTTGAGAGTTAGAAATGCAGTGATTTTCTCCCTTTAGTTTAGATCATTGTTTTGTCATTGAAACGAGTCGATTAATTCAAGGTCAGTACCACAGCTGGAAAAATAAAATGTCACAGGATATGTGACACTTCATACCAGGCTGCCTAATCACAGAGCTTCTTGTGAGATAAGGTATCGTTAAGTTCATCTAACAAATGGCTTTACGTGTTTGTCCCAAAACTTAGATGTCAAGAAGTTTACAAAACCTAAAATCAGGTCAATTTGTTTCTACTTTATTTGGACTTTTAAGTGAATATAGGCTGCTCTTACAAACATTTGAAAGTCTCATCATGTATGTTATGCTGAGTTATATCCATAATACAAATACTTTTCTAAACAATGAAGGTTTCTGATCTTTTCAAAATATATCTGTTCTCGCAGGAAGTCATTGAACTGGCTTGTTTAAGAAATGACCTAGAGTGAAGTTTAGCAAATACCTCCCTGATCAAAGTGTGGAAAATTAGTGTAGTAAGGGATATACAGATCACAATTTTTCATTGCTACTTCTGGATATGTCTTGTAAATGGACAGAACACACACACATGCTCACACACTTATTTTTGTTTGATGAAATAAGAAAGAGACTTTGTTACACCTGAAGCTGTGTTATGGTCCAAGTATGTCCCATAAGATGGTAAAGATCCATAAAGTCTTGCTGAAGTCTTTAGGAAATGACATTGCTAAATATCTTGCAGGATCCTTCCCTAAATGTGCTGAAAGATGTACCCCTGAAGGCTTCCCTTCATCAAGTAGAGGATTCTTCCTGACTGTGATATCTCACCATAATTATTTGTGGTGTTGTTATATTGATTCTTCTTTAACTGCTGGTTTTGTGTCTTTATAATGTATTTTTTCTTCTCACTGAGAAGAGGCTTAAGCAAGACCTGAAGAGTCTCCGTTCATTTGCTCTTGAGCTTTCAAAAGACTTCCAGCGCCAAAGCAAGATTTATCTTTACCAAGTTTTGACAGCAGTCCAAGGGATACAGCTGCAAAATGAAGCAATGCAAAGTAAGGCTCATTGCACTTACATTTCAAACATGTAACATCAACAATGTCATTGTTAAATGGCACTGACGTTAAAAAGTTCAGTTTGACTTTTGAGAAATATGTCACTGAACTTCTAGCACTTCTTCTTTGTTTGACATCGGATCATCAAGTTGTTCGGAAGCATTAGAAAGAGTACAAGTAACTCGTCAGAGGTTATGACTGATAATTTGGATTTAGCTTTTGTGTTGATTGCAGCTGCTACTGGCTGCTGAGTTGGCTCAGCTGGAACATTTTAAATCTGAACTTCTCAGGCTTGTTATCTTGACTGTTTTTGAATAGCTGAACAAAGAATGTGTTGCTTTAGCTGAAATTTGTCTGCTTTTGGCTGTACCAGAAAAGGACTCAGGTGATTTCAAAGACTTCTGGAAATACTGTCTGAAATTAGGACAGGCTGGACTTTTAATATTTCTGTGTATTTATGGAGAAAAAAATTCCTTCCAAATCAAAAGGAGTTCCACTCGCTAGACTGTAGATAATAACACCACATGGACTACTGTTTCGGAATTTGTGTCCGTCCTTGTTCACGTGTATGCATAAAGCAGACCCTGCGGTGCACTGGCGCTCTCTGCCCTCACCGCTGAGGACAGGTCCTGCAGCCAGGATCTGTGCACCTGCTTCCGATATCCTTGATTCTGGTGGAGCTCCTACCTGGCCTGAGAAGCGCATGACACACACGCAGCTTAAAATGTTTGAAGCTTAGCAGCCTGATGAACTAACAACAAATACACAAATTTATCATCGCAGTCCCTGGGTGATGCTCTGATATCTGTGTGTTACCATTTAAAAGGTTTGGTTTTCTCCTGCTTGACATACTTAATTTTGATTCTTTGCAGAACTTGGCCCTGTATGTTATTTACTAAATTGTGATTAAAATGGATTTGATTACTGTATTACCCATGTAGAGAAAACGCTTAATCAAGTTGTCTTTAAAATGGAAAAAAACAAAGTGGAAAATTAACCCTAGATAAAGGCAAATGTTCGCCTTATTGAAGCGGGGGGCTAAATGAACAGATAGGAGGTTGAATTTGGCACTGAAGCTGTTGTGGTGTAAATAAATAGTAAGTATTCCTTACGAGGCCTTGCACATTCTGTTCTCAGTTTTTACTTTGAGGTGCATTGTTTTATGAAATCATAACCAGGAGAAGCTTCCTTATCTATAACAAAATAGTCTGTTTGTACTTAGGTGGATGACTTATGTTTTTAATTTGGCCATTTCTCAGTTCTCTGTCAGATGTTTTAGATGGAGATTCTGTCAAGGTTAAATGTGACAGTCAGAACTGCCATCCTTAAATTGCATATAATCTCTTGTAAACAGAAAGCCCAAAGTATGTATTCTGGAGACAATATATGGTAGCAGTTTAATCCTAAAACAGAGATTGAAAATGAGGGAAATAGAGAATTAGAGAAGAAACATTCAAGTAGGTTAATTTCAAGGCTGTAGTGACATCCAGCAAACTATAAAACTTTCCTGTAGTAACTGAGTAGTCCCTTGCTTAGGGACTTCCCTCGTAAACAAAGCTGCTATCATTTCAGCAAAAAATACTGGCCACCTGACTGCAAATGATGCCACTGAGGCAGATGCAGTAATTCAGCAGATTTCTGGAAGGGTAGGAATTTCTAAAAAATTTAAGATGCCTTTTTAGATTGCCTTACCACGCAGGTATTATCAGAAAGAGGAAACAGCAGAATCGGTGCATGCAGAACATATTTTTCAGAGACTCTTCTCACTGCTTGGCAAAGTGGCAGCTACTAAGGAACAAAATTTGTCCAAGTGAATATGTGACAGAGGAGTTGCTGACATATTTTGTGAAAGCTGCTGCAGCCTAGTGACTTAGATCTCCTTTGTGGTTCCAGGCCCCTTTCTCTCGGGGTGGAGAAAAGGGAAAATTGGGTAAGGAGTTAATTTCCCACTTTGCCCATATGCTGGGACCTATGTGCAGTGCTCCACGTGGAGAAAGCTGAGCTCTGCTGATGACTTGTGTTTGTGGAATGCGAACTACCATCACCTTGTTCTAGCCATCACTCTTCTACAACCGTTGGTTGTGATTATTGATGAAGACTCTGACTGCGCTTAGTGATTTTCAAACAGAAAAATCAAAAAAAAGAAAGTTTCTGTGTAGGTCAATGAGATGGGAGAGCGTAGGGGAAAGGGATGTCTATAACGGCTGCAGGCAGGTAGTGACTGCTTCTCTTGAATAATGAAGAGGATTATTAGGATTATTAGGATTTTAAACACATGCACCCAGTGGCTACCCCTAGGTTATGGATGAAAAGTTAACCTCTGAATAGCTTGCAGCTGATGCAGAGTAGAAAACTAGGAAAATGTGAAGTGTTTCTATTTCTAACCATGTAGCTCCACTTTCAGAAAAATTAAAAGTTCAGAAATAATTTATGCATTAGAAAGCTTGCTCTATGGAGCTTCTATTCAGGAAGTTTTTCTGTGCTGCACATAAAGCTTTATGGAAAATGGACATTAAAACTGATGGTTCACTCTTACAAATATCAAAATACTGTCTGCTAAATACAACAACTTGACTCACCTTCAGAGGCTGTGCAGTCCTTCACCTGTCCGCTCAATAGCCCTGGTGTCAAATTAGGAAGCCCCAAGGTTGATTTCTTTTTTCACAATCATCTTCACCATAGGAGGGCTAGTTAGGAAAAAAAAAAAAAAAAAAAAAAAAGAGTAATTAGAGCCTAAGTTAAATGAAACTGGATCTATAATGTCCAGTAGGTTTCTCAGAGTCCTCCTGAAGGAGGACTTAAATACTGAAACAAACTAGTAATTTTGTTTTTCTTTCAAGACTGCAAGAATGGAAGAGTACCCTTAGCACCTATTGCTTTGCTTTACTGCTTATTCAAGAGACTTCAAGAACTGGAAGTGTGTGTACACAAATTTATAAATTAAGATACTTATTATGGAGATTACTCAAGTAATCAATGGATTTTAACCTCGTATTTTGAAAAATAGTGTGTGATAAGGGGTCAGTGACTGTAAGAGTCACTTTGGACAATTTATTGTCACACATTTGCATGTGATTCTCCAAACCAAGACATACTAGGTGTTACTCCACATACAGGATGCAGGAAAGGGATTTTTTATAGTGAAACTCCTAGACTTGGATTCCCCAACAGTTAACATAAAGTTTCCCCTGCATGCACGCGCTTGTGGAGGAACGTTATGAGCTGGAGGTGAACAGTGTGGGTATTGCAAAAAGAAATCTGAGAAATCCCTAGTAGAGACAAATGTCCCTTGAAGTTAACCGATTTTTAGCCTATGCTGTAAATCATAGGTGTGACAGGCTGAGATTTTAAGTCTGTTCCTTTCTTTGTAAGGTGGCACATACTGATGCTGGTGGCCATCCTGCCAACTCAGCTCTCAGGCCAGGGTTTTGGCTGCTTGACACTCTACATCTTCAGACTGCTCACTACCTGTTGGGGAGACTGGTTGCCCACTGGGGCTCCTAAAAGCTTGCTTCTTACGCAAGTTTACAGTCACATTATGTGCCTTTGGGTTATATGTTTGTTAATGTAACTGGGCTGATGTGTAACCATTTGTGAATAATGACCCATATTGCTGTCCTCAGTTTTGGGGGTTCAAAAGTCAATCTTTTTTATAAAATTCTACCCTTGAATCTTAAAGGGGAACCTTCTAGCTGTTTGACAGGATTAGTAGCACTGTAAATAAAGCTGAGGATAAATGACAGGTTATCTGCTTGTAAAGTTAGCTGGCATGAGTGTAATAACCTGCAGATATGGCGTGAGCCTTGCCAGTGACAGCCCAATCCACAAGCAGGTTGCTTCAAGTTTAGGTTTCAGGCTTCACTGACAGATAACATTACTGTAACTAAACTGACACGTTTGAACTGCCCTTAAGTATCTTGTATTTTTGATTGTTTTTCAAGATTTCGCATGTATACCTGTGGTAATTATCTGCCATTTCAAAGCAAGAAGTATGATGGGATTTTTTTTCAGAGGTGTCTAGTAAATCAGGAGCGAACCCTCCTGATTAAAGTTTGGTAGAAGTTATAAAAGTTTATGATTGTATTTCATGAGGTGCTACTGGAAAATCCATTTTGTAAAGACACAGAATATAGTTATTTGAAACAGCTTTCTTCTAGTGTTTCAGATAAAAGCTTTTGATCTTGAGCAGTCTCTACAAGAGGTGACAGAGAGATATGAGAAAGAAAAGCAAAAGAGGAGAGCTCTACATAACAGCTTAGTTGTAAGTATATTTAATGACAGAACATTTTCTTATTTTGTTGTAGTTATGCCCATTATTTCCTCATCAATAAAACTAATGAATATACTTTTCATGGATATATCACCTCCCCCAGCTGTCTATAAACGATACATTTCTTTGCTAAGGCACATTTGTCTTCCAATAAACCCCACCCCCTTATTTTTAGACAAGCATCTTCAAATGGACTCGTGCAACATCTTGCCCTAAAGAGTATAATCTATTTTGAATAGAGGACAAAACTTGAGTTTCTTCATCCTCTTCTCTAAATTTGCAGCTTCTGAAATTGTTTTAGAATTCTTCAAATGGTCAACTTGAAATTGCAAAATGGTTGTCTTTTATTTTTCCAAATCTGTCTAGCTGTATCCTGCTCAGCCATTAGTGATGGTTCATTTGAGATTAATTTTTTCCTTTTTTTTACTTTAACTTTACTCTTCCTCTCCACCCTCCCCAGATGACTAGTTTTTGTTTGCCTGATTCAGGACCCGATTCTTAGAAACACAAGCTGCCTTCAAACAAAATTCTTTAAGTGTTTCTACCTGGGAAAATAAAGTTCTTTGTTAAAAATTACTTACCTTCCAAACTCTGTCTTGTGTTGCAGTTTACTGAAAGGATATTCCCCAAGGCAGTGCGGAGTTAATGCCAGTGGTCACTAGTTGTCACAGGAAAGCTTTTTTTCACTAATACGAAATGAGAAGAACTGGTCACTAGCAATAAGGGAGGTACAACACCAGGTTAGATAAACTGAAGCTTGAAACAGCCTGCAGAGAAAACTCAGTTACTGGCTTGTTAGTCATGTATGAACACAGAACAGAGAGGAAAAGGTACAAAATGGTTTGTATTCCACATCTTCCTCAGGGCTGGTGGAAGAGAAATGGAATGTGTGATCTTCTCTGTTGAATTAATGTAGGTGTCTGAAGAAGCTCAAGTAAAGAGGAAGGAGACCGAAGAGGGGAAAACAGCTCAGACTGAAAGCCTTTTTTTTTTTTCCATGTAGACTGGAGAGGGCTACACCATTCCAGAGCTCCAAAGAGCTCATCCTTCCTCAAGTACTTTCTCATGATTTCTTAAGTCAAATGATACTGCTACGATTTTTCTCTCCACAGAGCCTAAGGCTGTGATGTTATAAACCCTGGCTTTCTTAAACACGTTCACGTCTGCTTCACAAATTTCAGTGTAGTTGTCCTCTCCATTAGTTTGTGTTAAATACATCCTAACGTTCTAACCCTAGGAACTGAGAGGAAATATCAGAGTCCACTGCAGGATCCGACCCTTACTACCTTTTGATACTGCTGCTGGACATTCAATATCACAAGACAGGTAATTTCTTTTGGCTGTGTTAGATCTTAGCTGACTCCTAATTAAAATACAGAGAAAACAATAGTTATATCTATGTGAGAAGAACTGTGTTCTTGATTTTTCTCCCTTTATGTGCGTGGGGAGATGATGACGGTATCATTAAAAACTAACTGCCTTTTTTTTTTTTCTTTCTCCTGCTAAATTGGCTTTAGCCAATCTCATCCCCTTGTCTAAAAGCATGTCTACCTGAATAGAAAGCCTTAGCTGTTCTGCCAAGCCAGGATTATCCCTGGCCTGGCAGAAGTAACACAGCTGCAATCAGTTCAGAGTATATTCGCTATCCTATACAAAGTCTGGGATACAGTAATGTAATAACTGTCAGAAGTCATAGGTAGAGAAACGCTCTCAGCACTGCAGTTGCCTTGTAATGCTATAGAACAGATCTGCGGGCAGTACAAACACTGGTCATTCTGTTTCACTGTAATTTGGCTCTGTATCCCCAGTTATCCCACACTTCCTGTAATTGAAGTGTTAAAACAGATCCAAAAGGAAAAGAGGGATTAGATGCAAGTATGTGCTATAAGGAGCTGAATTCTCCATAGATGACTAACATGAAAGAAGGTAGGGACTGAAACATACACAAAGAAAGAAAGAAAGAGGGGGAAAACTAAGTGGGTGTCTAGAAACCAGTAATGTTATCATTGGCTCTATCAGTATACAACTGGTTTGGGCTTTATTTTACTTCTGCTGGCTGGTAATTCTAAAAGAGTACATTCAGTGTTTTTAAGCTTATTAAGTTTTGGCAAATCTTTTAAAAAATATCGATTTTTTTTTTTAATTAAACATCAAAAATAGCGGACCAGAAGTTTGAAGAAGCCTGAAGGGGAAACTTGCACTCACCTGTGCTTGGTGTCCCTGGGAAGGAACCCACTTACTGTTTCTGCTGCTGTATGGAATAGTGCGATCAGGTGCTGAGTTGCAGTGTAAAACAGGATCCCAGTCAGTTTTTGGGCTAGTAACAGATGCAAGATCAGGGACAAATACCTAAAAAGACGGTGTTTTTCACTTTAATGTTCTGAAGTGAAAGCCTCTTGTTACAAGCTCACCTTACAATCTCAGAGTAATAGAAGGGCTTGCATGTGAATTGGTCATAATTGGGTTTTTTCTGAGTTTCTTTTTTTAAGCAGATTATTTTGCTTGATTGCACTTTAATTTGTTTTTTTTTGTTCACAATTAACTGTGGCCTGTGTACATACAGGGGTACAATAATAATGGCAATTCTGAAAGGTACCCTTCAGACAGTGTGTAGTTCACAGATATTTCCAGCATTGACTTTGCTCAGCTAAATGGAACCCTTACGGTTTGACAGGTACCTTTTTCCCTATTGGCTTTTTTTCTTTTCTTACAGGCAAAGAAACTTGTCGGAAAATGTGGCGTTTGCAGCCGATGATGTGAGTATTTGATGGTGAAATTCAAAAGCACATTCATAGATTTTAGGAAGGAGAAAGAAGAGGGACATGTGAGTCATGCGTTTAAAAACAAAAAAAATTAGGTACTTTCTTGTCAATCAGTGCCCAGCTTTGATCACCCATGAGTGCAATAGCAGATGATTTGTGCTGTTTTCATCCTGATTCTTTATAGTAGTAGTAGCTTGGAGCTTCTGCTGGGGCAGTCATCCATGAACTGGAGGTTGGGTGTCTGCAGCAGTCAAACTGCTGCAGATTTCCTGCAGTCAGTCCCTTTGAGCCACTTGTATTTGCTGTAACTATTTCTACAATTATGCCAGGCTTTTCTGATGTCATTATTGCAACACAACTAATGCATTAGGAGACAAATACAATGTCTCACAAACCACACCAGCCTACCTGGTACTGCAGTCAAGCATGTGAAAGTGTCCTGGCTTAGATCCATCAGAGGAAGGAGAATGAGCATGGAGTTGCAAATCCAGATGACATTCCAGCATTAATTGAAGCCATTACCAAGCTATAAAATTTAAAAAGGCGCAGTAGTGTGAGCTAAGGTCAAAGTGCTTACTTGGGTTTTAATTTTCTTAGCTGCCATAGTTCTTAGTTGGCTGCTCACTGTCACTTAACATGGTGATTAGCCAAATTCTCCTCTATAGTATAGTGCTTCAAATATTGCTGAAGTGACCTACCAGTATGTTATGCATTTACATCTCCCACATTATAGCTTTATTAGGAGGATCTTGCTTGCATAAAGTGGATACTTAGAGATATATATATGCAATTAGGAAACTAATGGAGCACATGAAGAGTCAGCTAAGCAAGAGTAAATATGTGTAGGAGATAAAAACCGGGATCTGTAATGGTAGACGTAGTACTCTGGATGCCACGACCCATTTATTGTATTATAAAATGCCATGACCATTTCTGACCTGTTAATTTTTATTGCATGAAGATGAAATTAGATAATATTTAGGTTTTAGATTATTTCATATAGCTGATTCATTACAGTATCTATATGTTTACAGTCAACGCCAATTTATTCATTTATTCATTTTAGTTTGTATGAAACAGTGACCTGGTAACCTTCAATATGCTAACCTGTTCTCATGTTTAAAAGTCCTTATGAAATATTCCTGGACACGGTCCTGGGCAACCTGCTCTAGTTGACCCTGCTCCGAGCAGGGGGTTGGCCTTGATGATAGCTGCAAGTCCCTTCCCACCTCAGCCATTCTGTGGTTCTGCTCTAGGATCCCACCCGCTGTGTTTCTGTAATTTAGTCCATCTCTGGCAGGGTGTGCTGTGTGTGATAGCAAAAATAGGTGTCATGTTTGAATGAGGAGTTATGTTTTTACCTGCATGCATAACACCAAATGTAGACATTTAAGTGAGGTGCCTCATCCCTCCAGACTCCCCTCATGGTTGCTGAAGAAAAGCAGCGACCTCCAGAGGGAAAGTAATTTCCTAAGATCCGAATTGAACTTTAAATATGTTTGTCTGTCTCCACAACTATGTAGGCACCTGAGACACCTGCCCTAGCCTAATACCCAAAGTGATGTTTGAATCCAACTTCCTTTGGCCCAGAGAAGAGAAACTGTCTGCCTCTACGTGATTAATTCCTTTCAAATTATTTTGAGGTTTTCGCTTGCGAGTAGTTGAGAAAAAGAGGATGGCAAAGAGGCTGCTCTGAATATCAGGGAAGGTGCAAGATTCTTCTGTTTCTTCAAGATAGGACTGAGAAAATATGAATTAACACAGCCAAGACCCTCCTTTTCTTGGGAGATAATTTGGTAATAGATCAGATGGATGTAGTTATAGCAGTTGGAGACATTATTGTTCCTCAGTTGCTTATCACCATCCCCAGATAGAAGTTTCTTCTCCTGGTGCTTACTTAATGTAGGGAATCCTTTATGCTGTCCATGTCAGCCTCAGTGCACTATTGACAGGGAAACCTGATGAGATTCTGCAGGCCAGCAGCCATGATGGATATGATCTCCTACGAAAAGGAGGTCATTACAAAAGCTTATACGAAACTTCTGCCTATTAACAATTCTTTTGTTTCTATGTTACGCAAATAGAGTTTTTTCTGTCCCATTTCTCACAATAGGGAAAGCTGGTCTGTAGGTAAATTTGATATATGAATCAGAAATGTGTTCCATAACTCCTTATCCTTTTCTTTCTTCTCTCTTCTTTCTTCTTCTCTCTTCTCTCTTCTTTCTTCTCTCTTCTTTCTTCTTTCTTTTTTCTTCTTTCTTCTTTCTTCTCTCTTCTCTCTTCTCTCTTCTCTCTTCATTCTTCCCTCTTCTTCTCTCTTCTTTCTTCTCTCTTCATTCTTCCCTCTTCTCTCTTCTTTCTTTCTTTCCTTCTTCTTTCTTCTTTCTTCTCTCTTCTCTCTTCTCTCTTCTCTCTTCTCTCTTCTCTCTTCTCTCTTCTCTCTTCATTCTTCCCTCTTCTCTCTTCTTTCTTTCTTTCCTTCTTCTTTCTTCTTTCTTTCCTTCTTTCTTCTTCCTCCTTTCTTCTTCCTTCTTTCTTCTTCCTTCTTCTTTCTTCTTCCTTCTTCCTTCTTCTTCCTTCTTCTTCCTTCTTGTTCCCTCTTTCTTTCTTCTTTTCTTCCCACAGAGCCTGTTGGGTACCAGTCCTATTAGAATTTCTGTATCAGGCCATTTTGTAGTAAAGTATTGTCCTCACATCCGTACTGCCGCTCAGTTTGGCAGTACTGGGATGGGTAACATAGCTCATCCTGTAGAGTGAGTGTTGCCATGGTTAGGTTGATAATGATGCATTAGCCCTCTCCAAAGAGGAAGGAATACTTATAAACTCAAAACAAGACATTGGATTTTTGTTAGCCATTTGCATGCTGGACATACTGTTACACCCTCGTTATGTGCTCAGCTCTTTACGACTTCATTCTGTGGCAATACTCATTTGAAGGCCATTAGTTCAGCACTACAAGCTACTTGTCTGAAGCACAGCAGGAAAAAAACTCCCATCAAATGCAGTAACGTAACCGCAGGTTAATAAGCTGGGAAACCTCCTTGAATTAGATGAAGTATTTTGTGTGCTAGTGAGTTTCCACCCAAATTGTTGCAAACCCTCACATTTTTTTTCTTTACTTCCTTTGCAATAGAGCAGCATTTATTCTGAGGAGCCTAAGTTGCTACATAAGACGTGCCAGACTGCTGTGATTATACTCTGGTAATAGTTTAAAGAGCTGCTTACATGTCTGTCAGATTTACAAAACTACTGTATAATCCATCTGGAAAGTGGATTCCACTAAAAAAAAGAATTCTAGCAATAGTGCTAATGCGGCTTTTTCTCACAGTTGTGGACTAACATGTGAAATGTGCTTCTTCTGCTCAGTTTCAGGCACAAATATATCTTAAATCAATCTGAAAAGACACTCAAAACTGACCCTCTAAGAAAAAAAGGGGTCTTTTTGCCATTTTTTCCACCTGTGGTGGCAGTTCGGGAGGTTGGGTTTACTTGCCTGTGGCCTTCTAGGCACATGAGAAGTTGGTAAGGGTTTGGATCTTTCTCGTGAGCTTAAGTGCATATTTTGTGTTGGTTTTTCTTTAATAACCTGAATGTGTTCAGTTTAATGCAGTCTGCAGGCTCTAAATGCTCATGTGTTGGTGACTGCTGGAGAAGGGCCTTGGACTTGATGATCCTTAATTACTGCTGTCACCTGGAATCTTAGAAATGATAACTATTTCTTTTTGTGCGCTTGTGTGCCTATGATATTAACTGTGTTTTATTTTTCTCTTAGGAAACTGTCCTTGTAAAGTGTAGCCGTCCTGGCCATGCATCAATAAACAAGACTTTTCAGTTTGAGAGGTGAGTAGCCCTATGCAGCAATCGGGATTGATGGAAGATTCGTATAGTGAAGGCTAATTTTTTAGTAGGCGTTGGTTAGAAGGTAATGTTCGTATTTTTTTAATTTATGTGGTATTCACATTCTTCTCAGGACAGAATAATGCACTTCAGGATATAGATGACACACTTTAGTCTTCACTCTCAGTGAAGACTTACTGATATGCCTAAGTTTGAAATCTATGTAGAGACTTATTTGACCCTTTTCACAGTCTGAGTAGCTCTCATGATCCTTGCAATGTTGCAAGAAGATAGCAAAAGGTTATCCACATTTTAAGGGTAAGGAAGTGATGTTTGCCTTTCAGTACTTAAAGGGGCCTTATAAGAAAGATAAGGACAAACTTCTTAGTAGGACCTGTTGCGATAGGACAAGGAGTAATGGTTTGAAACTGAAAGAGGGCAGGTTTAGACTAGATATAAGGAAGAAATATTTTACAAGGAGGGTGGTGAGACACTGGAACAGGTTGCCCAGAGAGGTGGTAGATGCCCCATCCTTGGAAACATTCAAGGTCAGGTTGGACGGGGCTCTGAGCAACCTGATGTAGTTGAAGATGTCCCTGCTTATAGCAGGGGGGGTTGGACTAGATAACCTCTAAAGGTCCCTTCCAACCCAAACCATTCTATGATTCTGTAAATTGAGGTGGATTGCATGACTTCAGCATTCGACATACAGCATGACTGAGCCAGAAACTGGACTGAGGACTTGTAAGACTCAATGGTCGGCCATGTTACTTTTAACTTAGAGAAAACAGGAACAAAGAGCTAAATTAATACAAATGAGATCTCTGTAAATGAAAAAATAAAAAATTTTGCCCCATGCCTTTTTTTCTAATGCAAACTTTGCAGCTATGCATTGCAATGACTCATACAGAAAGCTCTCTACCCTGAACCATGCTTTAAAACCCTCTGGACACAGAACACGTGAGGACAATTTTATGCATCTTTGCTTGAAGGCAGAACTTGATTTAAAGTCACATGTGTCCAACATGAATTATCTGTCCTGGTTTAAACTTAAGGTCTGAGCCTGTTCAGCACGAACTGCTGTAGGTTTGCTAAACATTGCCCATCATTCACCCTTTCCTCGAGGCATCCTTCTGAGATGCTACCTTTTTCTGCTCACAAAGACTGGGGACTGCTGTTGTGTAGGTCACCAAAGAACTGAAAATTCCTAAGATAATGCAAATCTTGGGGAAGCTTTACTGACCCCATAGGTTATAGGACTCCTTTGATACAAGGTACACGGTCCCCTTGTGTGTCTGCTAAGCTACTCGAAGTAATTCCTTTCACCCTCCAGCTATACCTAACACAGCCATCACAGTTGAAGTAAATGCAGGATAATGGTGGAATTCAACTCTGTAGAGAACAGTTAACAGTGTTGACATGGGACTCCAGAGGTGCTATGACTCTGGACATGTGTAGATCCTGATAATCAGGAAAAGGGTTAAAAAAATGTAAATCCCCCAAAGAATGCAGTTCTTGGGGAATGTTTTTTCAGTGTCCCAGCACAGCTCTTTTTTATAAACAGAGGAGCATATGGTTCTTATGAACTCAAAAATGTTTATTTTTTTAGCAATGTTTTATGGGACTAATAAATGTCAAAATATTTTATTTCAGCTTAGGAAGAACATTCCAGCTTTCAGCATGTTATGCTTTTATAATTTTATTGGCAAATCAGTTAGCAAAATAAAAAAGAAGCTCAGAATTTTCAAGGTGAAATTAACATTAATCATTACACTGGAACAAATCTGTCATCATTCTGGTAAAAAATACAGGGGCTTATAGAAAGAGATTCCCTGGATTTGCTGTATCTTTCACAGTCTCTAGCTAATGAAGTGGGTGTCCGTGCTTCAGCCAGTGCTGTGATGACAAGGTAGCATAAACTAGTTCAAGCCAACTTTAAATGACTTCATTTGGGTACTGGTAGCATTTGAACCACAGCAGCCAAGCAGTGTCAGTAAAACCCCTTTAGGAAGTTGAGTAAATATTTGGAATAGTTACTGTAATGTGGAGCCCCGTGCCTTTCCTCTGAACAGCTACCAGAACCTGAACCTGACATAGTTAGCTATGGCTGTCTGACTGACTTTACAGTGCAAACAGACTACTAAGACTGGGTGATTCTAGCCCTGATTCTGGTCTGTTTGCTTTGTTAGACAGCAAAACCCATCAACAGCAAGCAAAGACAGTAGGAATGTTCTCATTTCTAAAATACCCTTTAAAGTTGGGGTTTTCTTACGGAGTAGCTCTGAGATGTTTTGATGTGTTAAGAAAAAAAAAATAATTTCAATACATACTGAGTTAGAGGTCTAATAGGTTAAGATAGAGACTTGGTGCTCATGAATATTTCATCAATTGCAGATGATAAATGAAGCAGAGGAAAGTGTTTGGAAGTGCTTTTGCTCTCTTATATTGACCTTGTAGATTTGATGTGCAAAGTTGACCGAAGCATATGTGTGTACACATGCAAAGCAAGGATGGAGTGTTGCTCTTCAGTGTCTGTGTCCTCCCAGTACGAACTGTGCCACATCTCTGCATATTTGTTGGTTTCTCAGTGTAGGATGACAGCACATCAGTGGAATGACAAGACAAGCAGTATTTGTCCGTCAAGCCAGACAAGTGCTCCTTTCCTGATTAAAGAGAGCACATTTTCGTGCAACTTACAATTAGTCTGTGGAACATGTTGCCACAGGATGTTAATCCAGGTCAAGTGTTCAGCAAGATGCAAAAAAGAAACTGAATGCAAATTCTAATAATATTTTTTTTGAAACAGAGATTCAACTCATATTTCAGTTTTGAGGCCAGTTTACAACTTTCAAGGATGAGGATGAGGCAAGGGGATGATTTATTGTGTCTCCAGCCACCATAGTGTTTCTTTCTCCTTCCTTTGGCTATTGTCAGGAACAAAACGCTGAGCTAAGTGGGTTGGCTCTAATTCTGTATCTGTTTATCAGTGATCCCTCTATACAGTTATTTATGGAGAACATGAATACAGAATTTACATTTGTGAAGGCTATAGATGGTAGCGGCCATACACAAAGAGACTTGAGTAAATGCTAAAAAGCACACTATGTCTTCATTCAGTTAAACTTGTAGTATCATATACAAGCTGTGGGATACTGCTAAGTGAAGTGTACTTGCATACTATATACACAGGTACTATATACAAAATGACTATGCTTTGTAATGTTCGCTGCTCACAAAATTCCTAAGTAGTTATTTTGCTATAAGCTATAAATAACACACATCACTCATTGGAAAACAGAGATAAACAGAAAAAAAAAAAAATCACAACAGAAGGATATCAGAAAAGCAAACTTTTTCCAAAGATAAACATTCATCCCTTAAATACTGAAGTGTGGCTAAAGACGTTAATGTTTTATATTCTGTTCATCTTGTATAAATAGTGCTTGCTGCAGGCTGTCATCTTTGGGAAGATACGTTCTAGCATACCACTAGAGAAGAAACGAATGAGTTAGGATGTCCACGTTTCATGATCAGAATTTCCTGCCTTTGATGATTTCTTATTTTCAGGTCTTGATTTTATGTTGTACAAACTTGATAGTTGAAAGGGTAGGAGGAAAAATTTCTTTAAGGACCCTGTGTTAGCTTTTTCTTTTTCCTTGAATTTGAAAAACTTAGGCAGTTGCTTTAGACATCATTGTTTTGGCCCAAGGATTGTGCTGTGGTTGCTCTTTTCTAAGAGGTGGAACAACTCATTCAATTGAATTGTCCTTCATTCTGTTTAAAATTTAGTCTAAAATCCACATCACAATGTAAAAGAAAGTCTTCCCTCAAGTGAGAAGTGTTTATTTCAGAACAGATAGTTC